TGGTCATCTTTCCTTGGCAGATAAGTTGCTTTCCAGGTAGTTCACTATGCATAAATTATTTCTGCCTTCACTTTCATAATTATGGGCTTGTCTGCTTTGTGTGTAACCTGACGATAAGGATTCTGTGTGTCCTTTATGAGAACAGAGGTTTTCTTGGCCAAAATTCCTTCCAGACCTACTCATAGTTACGCAGCATACTATCACTGGCTGCTCACCCTAGAAGTAGATGAACGTCTAAGGTGCTGTACATATTTACTTTGTGACATGCTTTTGGATGCTGTAGCAGTTTAACAGATTATTATTCTGGACTGCCTTCAGCAGAGTTACAGAATTTACAGCCCCAAACCTTTCACACCTGTGAGTGAATCAAGCCAGATGAGATCATCACAGCAAGGACAGGAGTACCATGATGTCATCATGGTCAGGTTGAGAGAGCATTTTAGCACCATGCCAAGAGTGAATGCCAGCAAGTGGTGTTTGGCTCAGTCTGGGAGATCAGGTTGCTCTTTATCCATTAGCCTAAACAGCAAGAAGGTAAGTCCTCCCCAGTGTAGTTCAATCACAGGTTTGGAGGGGCGCTCCTCTAGGATTGAAAGGGGAGTTGTCTCGATAGCTCATTCAGCTAATGGCTTCTGGTAGGCCAGTGGAAGACCATTTATTTGGCAGGTGCACCAAAAATTAGCTTTACACTAGGGCTGTGTGAAGCTTTGGTAGCTGATTTGATTCAGAGGAGACTGAAGTCCCACGGGACTTGAGGAAGAGGGCAGGGGGTGTGGGATGCAGGTGTACAGGGCTGTGAGCAGGGCTGTGCCCTGCTGCTGCTTGCCCAGCTGGGGAAGTGGCGGGGCACAGGATGCGGGCAAGTGGCGACAGTGCCTGCATCCCGCTTCTTCCTCCCCGCCCTGGCTGGGCAAGTGGTGGCAGTGCCTGGATCCCGTCACCCCCTGCCCCAGCTGGGCAAGCAGCAGCAGCACCAACATCCTACACCCCCCTCCCATTTCGCCTGGGCAAGCGACAGGCTATGCCATGCTGCAGCTTGCCCAGCCAGGGCAGGGGGGTGCGGGTTGCAGGTGCAGCAGCTCTAAGAGTGGGGGCTATGCCCTGCCGCTGCTTGCCCCCTTCTGCCCAGAGTTAGCCGTGCCTGCATCGCATTCCCGCCCCCCTTTCCCTCCCCCCTCTGCCCACCACGACAGACTTACCAGCTGGAGGCAGCTGTATCCAGTGTGGTGAGGACTGCTGCCTGTTTAGTCTATGGCTGAATATCTGAAGTGGCACTGAATCTTCGGATTCGATTCGGCTGAATTGAATCGGGACAGTGATTCAAATCTCCAAATCAAATCACTGTCCCTCTGGATAGGCTGAATCTGAATCTGAAGCAAATACTTACCACTCCGCACAGGCTTACCTTACACCCTCTCCAAGTGGTACTCCAATCACCTTCCTCTTCCCAATCTGCTATTCTGCTTTCTGCTCCATGCCCGACCTGCTGCTCTGTTTTCTGATTCCTGGCCTATCTGCTGTTTTTCTGCCTGTTCTCCACTCTGCCATCTGCCACTTGCCAAACTAGGAACAGGAATTACACATAAACCTGTTTAAGTGATCAGAAACTGTTTTAAACCTGTAACAGAACAGATGTTCAGTGCACATAAACCAGTTTGAAAATGGCTGAAACTGGTTTGAGATAAACCTGGTTGAATGTAGCATCAGAATTAACTTATTTGAGTGGGAGCTGGGGGGGCTCCCTGTCACAGCATCCTGTGGGTCCTAGCCACACCCTGCCCTCAGCTCCCTGCAAAAGGGAAGGCACAGCTGCTGTAGCATCCCCCTGCTTCTAGCCTGAGCCACTGCAGGCATGTGCCTGCATTTCTGGGCTGTCTGGATGCTTACAAACTGATTCAACCTAGCCAGGTTAAACTAACCTGCAAAGATTGAATTAATTCAGGCTCAGGCTTTTTGAATATCTATCCCTGTCTATAGAGGCTTCCCTTGCATGCCACAGGTTAGCCTCCCCCGTGCTAGGCCACAGGAGGCAGTTAGCATTAGAGGGGTGGCACGATTTATATGACTGGGTAACTGGGCAAATGTTGAAGGAGCATCTGGTTTAGGATGCTTTACCTAGGCACAATGAGTATTTTTATTTGAAAGTGCACAGGGCATTTCTGTACAACACTTAGGGCAGGTGGAAAGAAGACACACAGGAGATCACCACACAATTAATCCTTTCCCTTACCCAAGGAGTAACCATACTGTTGCTGTCCCCAGTGTACTTGGGAACAGCTGGACACTGGGAGCTGTACCTTGGTTATACTCAGTGCGGCCGGCATAAGCCACCTTTCCATTCCTCTGCCCTGTGGCCATCAGAGCTAAAACTGATTTCTAGCCCTGACACACCCTGGTACAGATACACTGCCCTAATGCTCACTGTTGCACTTTATTGCACTCTGATGTCATCCTGATGCCAGTTTTCACAGGTTAACATGGGTGTGGTCATACCCTGCTTGTTTCTGCATGTCAGTGCAGGCTTTGTCCTTCACCAGGCTCATGCTTATTTGCAGATGCCAGCATGGTCCTGTGTAGGCTCATTCCTATAGATTGCTGCACACTGAGTACTCTCAGACTTACTCTCACACACTGGTATGCACGTGGTCACCTCCATGCTCTTTCACATACTGATGGAGGTGAGATCACGGCTGTACTCACTCTCAAATGCTCTTTTGAGCAGGGTCAATCACTTGGCTCACTCTCCCACACTGCTGTGAGTGTGGCCACTCTGGTGCTCATTCCCAAATTTTCATGTGAGCATGGTCACTTCCACACCCATTCTTACATAGTGCTGTAGGCACAGTCTTGTCCTAGTTCTCATTGAGCCCTGCTCCATATTTAAATAAAAGCTGGATAAAAAACAGCTATAAAGTTGTTACATTTTTTGAGCACTAACTTTATAGCTGGTTGGCTCTTTTTATAGCTGGATAGCCATTTCTATCATGTGATAATTACTTTGTATGTGTGGCTGGTCTAAATTCATTCGGCAATTAACCAGTTAAAAGCGTAATACATATAAGGTGTATCAGGGACTTCTGGCACATGCTACTGCAGGCCTGGTCCATTCTTGTTCTCTCTTGCATACTGATAATTCCTCTAGCTCTATTCCCCCTTTTCCCCCTTGCACAGTGAGTCAAGTTCATTTAACCCTATGGCTTCTGCATCATCCTCTGCTTGCTCTTCCAGCTCTGGCATTTCTCAAGAGTGCTGGTCTGTGAGGTCATTATGTTAATATGGACACATGCACCCTGTCTCCCTGAACCAGCATCAGAAGACAGGTGCAGACCTTGAAGAGGCCTGTGCATTAAAGCTTTGCCTCTGCTTTTGAATACCCTTTTGAAAACCACTGCATGGGAAAATGAATAGGAAAGCAACCCTTTATCAATATGCAATCAACCTGTTACTCGAGTGCTGGTACATTATCAGTGGAAGTAGAGTGTGTACTACAGAGTCAATCTGGGCTTTATGGTGTGAAATCCACTTCTCTTGTAGCCAGTGTTAACTAGCAGGTTTTGCACTGCACAACCTTGTGTGTGGGCAAGACCCTGCTGGGTGTGCCAAGTGTCAGAGAGGAGGAGATGGTCAGCCCTACCTGCCCTGGGGACTCAAGGTCCCCAGTTACTGTGGGGGTGGAGTGGTCTGCTCAGCTCCAGTGGTTGCTATAGCAGTGTGGAGTCTCATCACCCGGCTGCTGCTGCTATAGCCACATTGTGGGGCAGTTGTAGCCCCATGGATTCCCAGGGAGCTGCCATTTTGGCTTCCCCTCTAAGTAGGCACCCAGAGCTGGTGCCCTTCTTGCCCACCCCAAGGTCTGCTACTGTCTGTGGCAGACAAGGCTGGTGTGCCTGGCAAGTTGATGAAATGTACCATAAATGATGCACAGACCTCTTGGTGGCCTTCTGCAAAGCGGTGAAAAATCTACCTGTAATTCTCTCAATGGAGGCATAAGCAGATGAGTCAGGGAAAAAGCAAGTTTGGATAATTATAGGTTTGAATACTGTTCGAATGTGTGTGGAAGAGAGTGTATGTGTCTGACTGTAACAGTGTGCATCTGCAGTGGAACAGCTGATGGTATCACCCTTCAATTGGGTTCCCCAAGCCAAAAGATGCCAGTGGCATGAGACACAATGTTGCTAATGCCAAGGACCGGTACAGACATATCCTGGAACTGGGTGTCTTTTTTTTTGAGAGCAGTAGGAGGGTAGATTGGAAAAGTCAGTGGAACTAAATTGAGAATGAAAATAAATTAACGGGGGGGGGAGTGTATATCAAAATCCTTTGAAAAAAAAATCACATGAAAATAAAGGCAAGCCTGCCAGCTTATTTTAAAGCCAAAGAGTGATTGGGCATAACTAAGAGGGATACAACAGCATATTTAAGTTGCAACCCTTCCAGGCTTGTGACTATGCCAGGATAGTTTCAGCAGAAATTAGGGCAGTTTGAGGAGTGTGTTAATCGAGTACCACATGCCAGTAGCCCCAGGGAGGTCCTTGTGGTAGCTGGGTATTTCCAGCATGTTGGAGTGCTGCTACACTCCTTTTTCCAAGGCTGTGCTCTCACGTTGAGGTCTGGGGATGGGGCTGGAGCCACTATAGGTGTTCTATGTAGACCATTGCTAAATTTTTTGATCAACATTTTTTTTCTTCAACTAAAAAAAAAAAAAAAAAGAGAAGAGAGAGAGACAGAGAGAGCGAGCAACTTTAGAACACATCTTTCAAAAAAATCACCTTCTGATTTTTTTTAAATGAAAGGATTGAAAATGAAAAGAAAATCAATTCAAATAGAAGCTGAATAAAAAATTTAGGCTTTGGGTGAATGAAAGCCTGTTGCCTTTCACATCTTTCCATCAAAAACTGCAGAAGGCAGAGATGTGCCACTTATGCAACAAGTTGTTTTAACCTCATGTGGAAAATATTTTATTGTCCTCTTTTCTTTCCTCTCCTCCTTTCTTCTTCAAGGTTGAAAAAAATGAGGACGCGGACCAAAAGGTTGAGCAAGATGGCATCAAACCAGAAGATAAAGCTCATAAGGCAGCCACTAAAATCCAGGCCAGCTTCCGTGGACACATAACAAGGAAAAAGCTCAAGGGAGAGAAGAAGGGAGATGCCCAGGCTGCTGATGCTGAGACTGCCGACAAGAAGGATGATGCTCCCACTGATGACGTGGCAGAGAACAAAGAGAGTGACGCCCCCTCTGCCACAGAAGCTGCTCCCTCTGACAGTGCCCAGCCTGAGGAGGGCAGCAAAGATGGCAGTGCCCCTGTAGAGGAGAAGAAAGGGGAGGGAGCTACGGATGCCAGCTCAGAGCAGCCAGCCCCGAAGGCCACCACTCCTGCTGCTTCCTCAGAGGAGAAGCCCACTCCTGCTGCCACTGAAACGGAAAGTGCCACTAAAGCTTCCACTGATAACTCACCGTCCTTGAAGGCTGATGAAGCCCAAGACAAAGAGGAGCCTAAACAAGCCGATGTGCCTGCTGCTGTCACCACTGCTGTCACCCCCACTGCTGCAGAGGATGCTACTGCCAAGGCAACAGCGGATCCCCCAACGGAGACGGTGGAGAGCAGCCAAACCGAAGAGAAGACAGGTGAGTGAACGTGAGGGGGAAGGTGCTTCTCGCCACATGGAACCTGAAATGTCCTGGCCCCCTTTGCCCACCTGGGCCTCTCTCTGAATCTCTGTGTTTTCCAAGAATGAATGATAAAAGGGGTTGGGGAAGACATTGGTGAGTTGGGGAGATGACCCATCTAGCCATCTCCTTGTGTTTCAGGGGAAAATGAGAGAGATTTGCATGTTTATGCCCCAAGGGACTTTTCTAAGCTGCCAGAAATGTCACTTACATCCTTCACACCATGAAGGGCTTGTTTCTCTGAGTGAAGAGACTGGCCAGTTGGAGCAGTGATGGGTGAACATCAAAAAGTTTGGAAGGGTAAATCTAGAAGAGCTCTCATCATTTTGTGTCTGTTCTAGACATATATCTGAAACTGTTTGAAACATGCTTGTAACTCAAATGTTTTTGGTGGTGGTGTAGCAGACATGATGGCGGATCATGGAAACTGCAAGTAGGGCTGGAAATCTCATGAGAGAGCGTTTTCTTACATACTTTGGGAGACAATCTAGCATTTCCAATAAGCAGAACTAGGGGAAGCCTAGTTTCTTTCTCTGTCATGTCTATTCATTCATAACATTTCTGGTACAGCTTGCATCTAGGTTGGGATGGAAACACCAAGGCATCAGTCAGACTTGCCATTTTATACAAAATGGCTCTCCCAGCTCTCTTTTCAAACTGTTCTGCATCATCCCCTGGTCCCATTATTCTGTGACAACAATATCCAGAACTGTCAGCTGCCATTATACGTATATCACTGGGGTCTTGCCTGTGCAGTAAAAAGACCAGATGTGGGAATACAGATGCAAACATCCTGGTGGCACTGTGGGTGGGGATGTTGAAAATCAATCAGGGGTCCGAAAATGTGCTTGCAATATTTCTTCAGTCTAAGTTTGTCCATAACTTCACTTAAGTTATTGCTCATGGCAGATGTGTTTACAAACCACCAGGAGTTTTTAACCACTAAGGGTGGCTATACAACGCAACAGAATCACAAGGACCTGTATGTTCTGGGTCCTTAATTTCCTCTTGCAAAATTAAGGGGTTCAGGTGATGACCCAAATCCTCCTCTGACTCAGGTATTCCATGAGACTGGCTGACGGTGAAGAACCAGGTCTGCAAAACTGGTTTCCAAGTTCATAAATCAGTTGATAACCTAAAGGGGGATTTCTGCAGCATGTTGGGGAAATACCTGACAGTGTCTCAGGAGACCTGATAATCGAAGGTGAGTCAAGCATCCTCCTGCACACAGCCTTGCCACAGCTGAGGTTGCTGGCAGTGTATTCCCTCCAACTTCACTTGTTGCAATATGTCTCTCCTCCAAGAACCAACGGCCACCCTCTCAGTTTCACTAAACTTTCTAAACTTTACAGCTAGAATTGGACGCTCATATAGTGCCAATGCACCCTCTACTGATGTTCAGGTCACTGTGTAGCAAGATTTGGTAAGAACTGCAGGGGGCTCCCAGGCAGAAGCTTTGTGAGGCAGGCTGTAGACACAGGGATGAGTCCAGTGGTGGGCATCTTTGAAGTGTAACAAGATTCAGAATCCAGATCTACGATGAGCATATCTTGCAAAGGATTTTTTTAACTTCATTCCCCTGGAACCTACAGAGACAGCTGCTGAATTCATACCTCCAACCTTGACTCATTAGGGCCCGAGTGCTTGTTGGCATGACACAGTTCTGCTGGCTGAGCTATGCTGTCTAGGAACATGAAAGTATCATGTTTCATAGTTGATGTAATTCTGCTGGAAAAATCAGCATAGACCCAGCTTCTGCCTTTAGCATATCCTACAGTCAGGGGAACTAGTGTAAATTGGGTGGCAAAAAATTGTTTCTGCCAGCAGAGCGGTGTCCACAGAAGTAGGCTGGGCCACCTTAATTCTGTAAAGTGTCAGAAACCCCAGCAACGTAAGCATTTCCTTCATCTCTACTGCTTTGCCCCTTTGGTTGTCATTTACACCTCTACAAAGTAAGAACAAGCTGGGTGTAAAATGCTGTCACTGGCAAGCTTGATCAGAGAATTCTGATCTGACAGTGTTTTATGTTTGCCCTGTTCGGGTATAAATATCACCACAAGATGCAACACACTAGAGAGCCAGGCCTTACAGGATTTGTCTGCAAGGGGCTTCTATTTTGCCCGGAATTGTTATCCCTGATTAACAACCTAAATGGATGTTTTTATTCTAGAGCAATAATGCTTTATTCCATGGGAGGAATAGTCATTCTGTTTTAAATTCATTCCTTACCTTAATCCAAATGAATGTTCCTGTGTTGACAAGCACTTAAACTAGCTATTATCTGCCTCTTTAGTAGTAAGAACCTGCATACACCAGCTCCATTGTAATGATCAAAGCTAAGTAATTTGTTACAATGAATATTTTATTTACTTGATTGTACCTTGTTTTGTTCTGTGATTGCCAGAGAACAGTTTACAATACTCCTGCATTCATTTAGCATTTGAAATTATTTGCAGATTTCTTCAGCAAATGTTTCTTGGTCTGCAGATCATAAGGCTTTTGAGCTTTACTATACAGTCCACATTTGCAGTACAAACTATAACTTATGTGAATAAGTAACTACTCCACCAAATAAAGCATTACAAATAGTCTTTCCAAAATTAGCTTCCAAAGATGATCTGACTATTCCAGGCCAACATTCACTCTTTAGTCCTATCCATTCAGTATTCAGGCTAGCAACACTCAAACTCTTGGACATTTGAAGAAAGCAAACATGGAAGACTTGTGACTGTAGACAACTGAAATCCCTTTTAGAATATTAATGAATATTGATTAAAAATACCCTTTCCCACTCTTTGATCAACTCATCCAATCACAATCTTAGAGAGCTGTGGAGAATCTCAGCACTACGGAAATCAGACAGGAACAAAAATACCCATTATTCCTTCCTGTACATCTCCCAAAGGATGTTGGATTGTTCCCTGCAATGTTCCATATGCTTTGCCCAGTCTTGTTTGAAATGGCTTCTGCTGCATAGAGGCTGCTACAATGGAACTGCATTGTTTAATAGATCTTGTAGCTAGGAAATGTTTCCTGATACGCAGCCTGACTTTTCCTTATTTGCATGCTACTAATCCCTTGTGCTACTGTAAATAGTTCTACTTCTTCACTGGTGTCTGCCCCTTTCATAGACTGTTACAATGCGCCCCTTCCTGTCCCCTCCCATGATCATCTTTTAACTAGTATTGCTAGTTAAATGGTTTGGTCATCCATGAAAAAAGAGGCATTTCAGTGCTCTACCAACACAGAGACGGATCCCCTTGCAGCTCTATTGGTCTCTTTCTCCCTGAAGTCATCCCCCTGGCTTTCAGGGTCCGTCTCGTATTGTTTCCACGATCGAACACTGGCACAGTGCTCTACAACATAAGGCTGCCAAAAATAAATCAAATTGGCTAGCAGCCAGTGTCATAGATTGGCTGATTGCCATGGCACGCTTGGCTGCTACTACTATGAGGAGTATGTGCAGGCCATTCTACATTTCTGTGGTGGTGTTCATCTGGGTTCAATTTTACTATCCTGCCTCAGCCCCAGATCTACAGGTATGTTCCTAGAGCCGAGGCAGTGGGGGTGGACACTTGACCTACACCTTTGGGAGTTTTGCTGCTGCAACTGTGTGAAAGAGTGAAAATGCAAAAGAGATAATGTGTGAATGGATGAATAAACTAAATTGCCTTGCTTTTAGTGCTCAATATTAAACATTTCTACAGTAGGTAAAGGTGGGGACAGTCCCCCTTGTACCAGTATTCACCACTACTACATCTTTTAATCTCTGAATGACTCTATTTATCTAACAGTTTAGGTGACTGAATTGGAAGTTGGCTTTAATGAAGCAATCCAGTGTCCAGTAAAAATTCACATGGACCTAGGGTCCCCTGTATTTTTATTCCTGTAAGACACCTTCTAGATAACTCTGATTATGACTGTAAAGCCTTGAAGCAAAGAGGCTGGGTTCCCCGCAAAGATACAGTAGGAAGTGAGCCAGCAGGGCAAATTCAGAGGTGGTGTGGGAAGGCTGCAAATCAGACACCCATGAAACTGTCTCAGATCATCTTTCAGCTCTTCTCACATTCCCTTCACCACGGGTAAGAAATCATTGGTGTCACTAGTCCTGAGGGGGTGGAGGAAGGCATAAGTTAGGACAGACTGTTGGATAGTTTAATCTGAGCTTCCTTAGGGGTCTTCCTTGACTTCCTTGACTCCTAGCTTTTTCCCCAGGGGAGGTTCCCTGTGACTCGGTCCTAGCCAGTAAGCCAAACCCAAAAGTGACATGTGAGTTACATAGTGGTAAGCAGGTGAGCTGTATTCCAATCATGATTTCATTGGGGAAGGGCCCCATGTGCCACTTGGATCGCTCCATCTGTCTCCCAAATCACAACACTGCCCATCATCTCCCAGATCCCCACCCCCCTTGATTGGCCCCTCCACCTTCATATCAGAGCCCTACCAGCCCAATCAGCCCAAGAGCAGTGGAAGCAGCAGCAATGGGGGGCTCCCCCTCACTGTCTGCTCCTCAGCTCCCAGTAGTCCATACCCCTCCCATGTATCCAGATCCAGTTTCTAATGGGCCACACAGCTGCCCAGCAGCTCCTTGCTTCCCCCCCAACTCTTCTCCCCTACTCCCACTTCAGTTTCAGGGCCAAGCAGGGGCTGGATCTGGGCACACAGGACTGGTGGGTTCTGCAGGGACCCCAGGAGCAGGCAGGGAGAGGGAATCCCTACCACCAGTGCCTCTGTTGCTCTTGGGGTGATTGGGGTGGCATGGGAGTGATCCAGGGGTGGAGGGGATCATTTGGGGATGGGATAAAATTTGGGGGGCAGAGAGGGAAGCTCCCCATGTACCCACCCTTCTCCCTTCCCTCTGCCCATGCTCTCTCTAATCTTACTTCAATCCTGCCATCCCTTACCTCTTTCCCATGCCCCCCTCCCCCTGGCTTCCCTACCCCGCTTCAACTCTTTTC